CCTCACTCTCTCTCTCTCACTCACTCTCCCTGTCTCCGCGACTCCGTCCATGTTCCATGCTCGTCCTCACTTCTCCTGACCATTTGCCGATCGCGACGCCATATGTGTGTCTCATAAGACGTCACACATTGATAGATCGATACACGTCGATAATACACGCGTACACCGCTCGGACATTCGTGTTTACGTAAGCGGAAAAGAAGAGCCCCAGAAAAATCGCACGTCGAATTATCACACTGGGTCTCGCTTTACGTTTTGTATAGTCAAATTCATGCAAAATTTCTCATTCACGTTCACACGTTCGTCTATATTGCGGGCCACAAGCAAATTGCAATTTAGAGAAAGACAACGACGCGCCAATTCAGCACCCATTAATCGACACCGCTCGAGTGACACGGCTGTTAATGAATTGTTGCATGACCGTCGGCATGCGTCATCGACGTTCGATTGTTCAATTGCAGAAACAAGTCCGGTTTGCTATCTGATGCAGCGTGTAGAAGCGGTATAACCTGTTTGATTCGGCCAATCGATCTCGAAACCCTTCCTGGGCGCCTTCGTATCGGACCACCGCGAACACGGATAAAGCGGACATCGGGGAAAAGAGAGGAGAGGGAGGGACGAAAGAGTCGCGCAAGAGGACAAGAATTACAAGGGGACGGAGAAGGGGGTTAACTATCCGGCGTGTATATACCACGCGAGTGTAGCAGAGGGATAGGCCGGCCGGTCCGAGCCACTTTGAATGCAAAAGCTGCTATAATTAATATCCAAGCCGGAATAACGGAGCGGCGAACAATATTTATTAGATACTTTATGGGGAAAGTTTGAAAAAGGTAATCCTCTCCCGGCACTCTCGCCGCTGGCGATACCTTCGTTATTTTCGTATCAACGCGGCTCTTCGCCGCCTTTTCTCCCACGACGGACCGTGATTTGAAAGAGGCCGACTCGCTCAGTCTCCGTCGCGCTCAAGACAGTCGCGTTTATGCTCCACGATTGCCAAAGGTAATGTCGCGGTCGCAGCATCGCTCGGCGCATGTTAATTAACGCGCGCTTTGCTCCAGATCTGGCAAAGGTAGACGCATCTCCTGCCGAAAGTATTCTGTCGTTAATGGTGCCTCCGCCTCCTCCCCCTTCCCTCTTCCGTCTAGTGAGAGCTACTACACCTTCGCTTCGCGCTCGGTGCGCAGCTTTTACGCGCCGGTATGCATGAGCGATTTCGGCAGAAACGCACGCCGCGCGACGTGTGCAGCCTAATTATTGTGACTGTGAAACGTTGCGGCGTCAACTCTGTTTACACTACGCGTGTCGGCGAACGCTGAATCTGAGAAAAATGTCGCCGACGTAACGCGATATATTTTCTTAGCCGCTGCTACTATTTATCACGGGGTATGCAGAGTATACATTAAAGAAAAAGAGAGAAAGAGAGTAGAGAGTACAGTAAAGTGTTTATTCTTCTGGAGTGAGATCAAATATACAATAAAAGAGAAAAAATGTGTTTATTCTTCTGGGATGAGATCAAATATACAATAAAAGAGGAAAAATGTAAACATACATGAATTAGAAAAGTATTATATAAGTAAATGAGAAAGGAAGAGAGAGAGAGAGAGAGAGAGAGAGAGAGAGAGAGAGAGAAAATTCTTGATCGCGTACACATGTTAATTTCGTGAGCGCCAGTGTGTGCATTTTTTATGTTTACCATGTCATACGGACAGTTAGACGTATATGCGTAAACTCGTGCAATCCCGAATTACGCTAAACATTAAAAAATTACATCACCGAGCGACTCACTGTGCGCGGCACAATGTCCATGATTGAGGAAAGCGCGCGCGACGCTGGCACGCTATTTCCTGCGCTGAGAATATCAAAGCAGTCGTCGCAACCCGACGTGCCGTCGCTTCTATTTTTGCCGGCTTTTCGCAACCGCGAAATTAGGCGCAGCCGGCGAGAATTGATTGATTTCACGTCGCACGGTTCCGCGACGGTAATTTAACGATCGGAACCGCCGTGAAAAATTTACACGGAGCGCAAGCCGCGCGCCGTAATAGTCTGTGCCGTTAACTCTGAGCCTGTGCATTGCAGAATTAAATATCTTTAGCGGAATATAAACGCGCGCGCGAATTGCGGAGTACCGGCATCTCTCTTCGTCGTCGAAGACCATCGTTTGTCATTATTGGACAGCGAGATTTTCGCTTCTCCATTAATGAATCCTGAAAGCAACTTTTGACGAGTGTCGACGGCTTAAGAAAATTACATGATGCGCTTAGGTGTATCGATGGAACTGAAAAAGTGCCCAGCCGATATCACTTATTTCGTGTCTCGCGACACGTTAATAGCGTCACTTCTACTCGCGTTGCAATTTAACGTAACGCGATGTCTCGTCTCGCGTTTGAACGAGTTTAAAAAGACGAATCCGAATTGGTTCTTCTTATCGAGACAACCGCGCTAAATACTGCAAATTGCAAATGCCATTGCTCGTGAGACACTCATTACCCTCTTTCCTTCTCGTTTCAGAGAGCGACTTTGGCGGAGAAAGAAGTATCCGCGTTAAAGGAACAACTCGCCGCGGCGAATGACAGCAATTCCAAGACTGAGGGGCACCAATTGTCTCAACCTCCGCAGGGAAACGATCAACAGCAAGTACACGATGCCAGCAATCCCAGGAGGACGCCTAACAGCAACCTCGAGCAGGAACTGCAGGCCAAAGACAAAGAGGTGAGTTGGATCAAACTTGAAACCTTCTGCTAAAATGTTATTCTCTCGTGTATCCCTGGAATGGCGATTGTGAGCTCAGCGTTTTGACTCGATGTACCGGGCGTTTCGAATCAGACGCACTTTCTCGCTGTTCAACGAGTCTGGTGACGCAACAAATCGTCTCTCTGACCGGGAAAGTGGCTTGACGAGAAAAAACGCTGCAAACCTTCTCTCTACTCGACGTTTGCTCTGTTATTGATATCAAAGAGTGAGTAATGAAATAAACTGTCGCCGCAATAGAGGCAAACAGACTTCTTACGGCTCACGACAGGATTGATAAAATCGAGCACTCGCGAGCGAGCGATAGTGCGGCTTAACCGGTGTGGTGTTGCAGCGTGCGAAACCACCGTGTGTGTGTGTATATGTTGGCGCGATTTCCGCGTGCAGACACGCGTGAGCTGCGGCACGTCCAAGTGAATGACTAACGTTGCTACCCGTGTTCGATATCCGCATTTGGCGGTTTGTCGTCCGTCTCTTTCTTCGTCCGCCTATACCGCTCTGTTCCACGCAATCACGTTCGTATACCGCACGCATGCCTGACACCCACCCCTGTTTTATTAATGCTGTCGTCACCCAGCCCTTCAAACTGCGTGTTTTTCAACCGAACAGTTTGATCGACGATCTCGCAAACTCGATACGGACCAGCTTCCTCCGACCTCGCTATTTTCTCTATACGCGGAGAGAATTTTATAGTTACTAGAGCGCATTTTTCTAATTTATCGGCTCTCTGTTATACTTTATTTTCCTTCCGTCTCGTGTGTGCTATTTATATTTTAGGAACTGAAGTATTTTGTTAAAAAACTACGCAAGCTAACTAACAGTTCAATCATATGTCTGTTTTCTCTTCAGATCAGACAAAGACAAACGACGTGATTTAACTGTTAGTTAGCTCGTCGAGAGATTGGAAAAATTGATCTTGAGAGAAAAAATGGCTAATCTCGCTAAAATTATAGTCATTTTTAGCGTCAACGTTACTTCTTCATGGTTCTAACAAAAGAAGTTTGTCGTCACTCCCGACTAAAATTCTTTCACCATGCGTTTATAAATAGCAAAAATTTTTTTCTCAGCATATATTCCTTAGAAAGATAAATTCTACTGATAGAGTCCATTCTGACACAGCTAGAAAACGTGGTGAAATTGAAAAGAATTGGTCTTCGCGCGCTTTCTGCCTAATCTCACACTTGCGTCTCGTACGAGGAATTAGATATAAATTTGCGAAATAAGCGAACGTATGTCAAGACAGGCGCGATTGTGCGGATCGTGCATGGCGAATCCCATTTGAAGACCGCCAGACAGCATGATCGGCCCACAATGTCGGCAAGTGATGAATTCGGTTAAGCCGTTTCGCAACTCTCGCGTGGCATTTTTCCTGCAAAAGATAAACGATCAGAGCCTAGATTCGCGATAAACGTTTCAAATTACTCCGCCGTGGCGCGCGGTGGAGCCACGCGAACTCTCACTCCCGGCTGTAAGTAGTAAACGTGTAACTAATGATAGCCGATCGGAGCCATCGAAATAGATAACGGGAATCAATTTGGAAAAGCGTAACCCCGTGATCCGCCACTGTGATCCCGCTCTCGCGATACTCTCGTTGTGTGCGTGTAACGTAGTGGTTGCGCCCGGTTGAATAGGCGCATCTCGATATATATTTAGTAACGAGGAACGACGGCGTGTCGCGTCGGGACTTCGCGGCATGTCGGAACTTTCGGGTACAGCCGCTGGTTCGGGTCGTTAAAACGTCGGAATGCGGCGGTAGTAACGCAGACCTTTTATTACAATTCACCGGGCCGCGCTTTGGTACCCCGCGCGCGCGCGCGATAACATTATCGTATATTTATCGGGAGGGTAAATAATCCAGGGGAGGCGCTCGCGATTTCGCTCTTGGCAAAAATAGCCGCGATGGACGCGTAAACGTCTCGGAGGAGAGCGACCCGATCTGCACCGCGCTCTCGTTCAACCGCCCGCCGCAATCATGAGCTGCGACGCGCAGCTGCCGTGCGACGCGGATGAATGGAGATAATGACGGTCATCCTTCAGTTTTACCGCCGAATATTCGGCCTAATAAACTACGGGCGTCTTGTAGAAGCGACGGCCGACGTGGTCCTTCTGCGTTTTGTTTTGTCTAGGAATAGAGTGTCGCACGAGATATGTCGAATCGTTGCGCGCTTCTCGCAGATGTGCAATTAAAGTCGATTAATAGCATGCACTTAATTAATTTGTAAATACGTGCAGCAACAGTGAGAGTGATATCTGTTCGCGTCTAGCGTGCACAGAGTGCTTGACCAAGAGAGATTGGTCGCACGCAAAGTCTCGATATTTTGTCCTTTCTCGTTTCTCTTCGATAAACGTAGCAGGTACATAGACAAAATGCAGACTTTGGAAAAACATTGTATAAGTTACAAGTTTTTAAAAATAACAATTACAGTATGCGTGTGTGTGCGCGGTTTATTGTCATTATTATTTTCGGATGTTTCGCACTTCTTGCACGTTTCAAGTTGCAGAAGAAGGGTATGCAGATTCAATTGCGGATTGAACGGAACATATATATAGAAACGGCTAGGTCGATAAATCTTCGAGAGGTAATATAGAATACGAATTATCCGCCGCTACTCGAAGTCTTTTTTCCCCCAGGAAGTGGTCAGGAAGGGCCTAAGTGGTAGTTGCACCCTTTAGTGCCGTGCACTTTGCGTGGTTTACGAAGCGGTGTGCAAGGAGGTCGAGCCCGTAAAAATCTCGTGGTAAAAGGAAAAGGAGCGCGGCGGGGTGGATGGGAGGAAGCGTGACCTGTTAAGAGTGTATAATGCGAGAGAGGCGAAAACGACGGGCGATGGGGTGGCGGAGGTGGTGGAAGGGGCGAACGGGTGTACACGAACCCTTAAACAAAGCCAAAAACACTTAAAGCGGCGCGCGCGTGAGAAAGGAGTGATAAAAACGCCGCTAAGAGTTCAATAAGTATCCTCCTTAGAGCCAATAACAACCACTCCTCCCTTTCCGTCGCCTTCAACCACCGTCCGCTACCTCCCCCTCTGTCCTCTTTACCAGCCCTGTCTCTGCCGCGCACCCCCGCGCGAGGAGAATCGTTTGCTTCGAAGCCTTCGAGCCCGTTGTAATCCCGGGCGCCGATAATCTCCGATCCCGCTCCTCCTCTTGTCGACGTCGTATCCTTGGTCCTTGTTCGTTCATCCCCCTTGTCTCGGGAAGATAGGAAGGGGATGGCGCGCGTTCTGTTCTCACCGACGATGCCTTTTAACGGATAAGAATTTGCTCCGCGGACAATGTCTTTATTGAGAAGCCATCGCGCTCCGTGAAGCACCGGACTGATTTTTATTATTTGCCGATTAAAGAGAGGTAATGGCAGTTTCGAGTCTCCCCGGAACGGCGGGGTGATTTAAGGACGATAATGAGGAGTAAATAATGCGATAGTGTCTTCGAAAGAGGGATGTCTTAGAAAGGGGTGGCAGCACGATACCCGGGAGTATATACGTCCATAAATTATGGAGACTTTGGAAGTACCCTAGTTTATGAAGGACAGTGATCGATAATTATCAGACATGTATTGATGTGCGTATCGCATAGCGGGACACTCGCCTTGCTCGCTAATAGGTTTGGATATTCATAATGCACGTGTCACTTGAATAAACATAGAAAAAAAACAAAACACTGCCTTCTCATATTTACTGTTGCGGTCGCTGACACTTTCTAGTGTATTTATAACATTTCCGACACTTGTGATATCACTGACGCGCTCAGATCAAAAGTTTCTTTTATTTTCGCGAAAAACGTCGCGAGGCGAGACGTATTAATTATCTTTGTCGCGGAACGCTTCTCTTCAGCTGATAAAAGTTATCGCTCTGTACTTATCAATCACCTTTGCCGCTTTGATCAACAGGTTTTGGCACGAATCAAGACTGAATTGCCTCGATAACCTTGAATAATTATCTCAATCTAATAATTTTTATTTCAACATTGTAAATTAACCTCGCGATTAGAGTCGCGAAATGTCGATTCTACGTTAACCCTGTAAATTCCATCGAACTTGAAAGTCCAATGAAAAATGAGTCACGTATATTTGATTATTCGTCAACTTGTATATGTTTCATATAAAAAGTATTGGTCCAAACAATACGGTTCACGAATACGAATTATGTTCTGCATCAAAGGTCGTAAAAGTGGTATTTGCAAGTACGAGTGAGATTTCATGCAAATCTCACGAGTGCTATTTCACAATTATTTCTTTGCCCTTACCGCCTCAATAATAACAAACAGACCATGAATAAAGAAAGCTTTCCTGTTTAAGCTTGCTGTCTGTTTAAAATATTAATGTGAGAGTCAATAATTTGTATACAGCGTTGTGACTCGAGATTCATTGATCCTTCAAGTTCGATGAAACTCGCGACATCAATGTGGAGTAAAAATCTCGCCTCTCGCAGAAGATTCAGCTCTGGACTATCCAGGATTTACTATTCAGCCGGGCGCGTACTATTCGCGCGTACGCGCAGCGCCGCCTTATTTTCTGCAAATATATTATCCGCGCGCGCGGAACGAAGTGGCGATAATTTGCGATTGCAGCCGTCCTACGTGTCCCGCAGCTCATTATCTCAAAGCTTTAGTGCCGCCGCTGTCGTATACAAGTCATAGCTCCGGCCACCACCGGCCGAATGCCTCGTCACGGCATGCTTGTAATTTCAACAAGACATTGTGAACGATCCATACTGTCCCCGCGGCACCCTGTCCGTCACCCCTGAAGACAGGCTTGCGCTTTGCGCGTTTAAATCGCGCGCTCCCGAGAAGAGCCCCGTTCGCCTCTCCGTAAATAAATCACTTGCATCGTGCATCAGAATCACGGTCTCGCGCGAGCGATACGTTGCCAGAAAGTAGAGAAATTTCTTTTATTTCCAACGGGGGGG